CTTTCTCCCTCTTTCTCCCTCTTTCTCCCTCTTTCTCCCTCTTTCTCTCTCTTTCTCTCTCTTTCTCTCTCTTTCTCTCTCTTTCTCTCTCTTTCTCTCTCTTTCTCTCTCTTTCTCTCTCTTTCTCTCTCTCTCTCCCTCTCTCTCTCTCCCTCTCTCCCTCGCTCTCTCTCTCTCTCCCTCTCTCTCCGTCCCTCCCCCTCGCTCTCTCTCTCTCTCTCTCCCTCTCTCTCTCTCTCTGCTCCCTCTCTCTGCTCCCTCTCTCTCTCTCTCTCTCTCGCTCTCGCGCTGAATCCACAAATCAAATTTACACCCATGCCGCATGAACCTGCCAAACCCTACTTAGGTAAACCTGTTGACCTACTTTCCGACTACAGCCAATTCCGAAGAATCGTCATTCCCCGATGGAGTGAGTCAAGGCCAAATTTGCCAGTCCATGGACCGTTCAGCTCTTCAAGAACTCTCGCGCCTTCCGCAGCTCTTCCGCACTCTCCCCCGCCACAGCAGCAGCTAGCTCGGCTTGAGCTTGACTCTTTGCGCGCTCCAGCTTGCCTTAGGTTCCAGTACGTGGCTGAATGGCTGATAGGGTGTGAAGATCAAGAACAGTATAGTACGCTAGTGCACAAGTCCGCAATCATTGTGTTGTCCATTCGCGAAATGGGATTTTGATCAAAACAAACGCCCAGAACTGCCCAGAACAGGCTATACGTGATCAAACACCAAAACGTTCCAAGAGACTTTCAAACGCCCCTACATCCTCAGCCTTTACAACTCATGCAAACACTCACCCTATCCTGGAGAGGTCCTAAGGACTACAACCCTTCATCGATCATCACTTAGGCAAAATGTTCGACAGTTCGACAGTCTGGCGGAAACCTCCGAAGTTGAAGAACCTCTTGATACATATTGCCTAATTCGGCTTGGACCTAGGATGCCTGAATCAAATCGGCAAAACATGCAAAAAATAGCTTAACACAACACCTACCTCTGACCAAAGTGTCGGCGAGAAGTTGCCAGTCACGTCTTTGACTGTTTGTATCTGTTTGTTGGGTAAGCTGCGGTGTCAGCCTCCAGCTTTAAATAGCTACCCAGCTAGTGAATCTAGTGGCATGTTCGATGCGTCTTGGCCTTTGTCGTCGTGCTTCGCTGTGTTTTGTTGTGTCCATTTGTGTCCATTGTCTTGCTTTACCTGTGGCATTTAGGCTTGTTCTTGGATATCTTTCCTCTTTTCTTTGCATGTTGTCTTGGTTTTGTTTGCTTGTTTTTGCATTTTGCTGGCCGTGTTTCTCCTATCCTTTGTTTGCATGCCTACTGTAAATACTCTGTTGTGGTTTTGGCATGATGCTAAGTTGAATACTTACACAAGCAAATGGCTAACCTCTACATCTATGTCTCTAATTTTAGACAATGATATATACTCAGATAGACAGTACCAGAGCGTCCCACTGTTTGATGCAGGATCTGAGATGCTCACTTTTATCTCTCTTCTCTTTCTGCAATTTGAACAGAGCCTGATGCATTGGCCACGCCATGCAAGAGCAAAGTATAATACAAGGAACTCTAGGAGGAAAGTTCCCAACAAATTCTCTCTCTCTCTCCAGAGGTGGGAAGCCAATCTCTAGGCGTGATTTTTTGCTTCTGGCCCTCTCTGGGACATCCAGTGCAAATTCAGGAACTGATGGCCTTTTTGGCCGCCGCCAGTTGCTCTTGTCCCACACCAGCAGAATCTGCTTTCGAGATTGCTGCAGCCAAAGCTGTAGCATCGCCTGGCTAGGTTGAGTTAGCACGGGGATCCAGCAAAGGACCCTCGTAAATCACACATGTTATGTCAAGTCACGCAATATCAATGCTAGGATTCTACAAAGATGGTGTTTTTTCTCAAGGGTCCCAGGTTGGACATTGCTTTTGACCATGAAAACGGTTTCGCAATCTTCCGGAAAGTCACCAAAGGTAATTCCGCACCTGCGGCCTGTGCCGCTTCTAGCTCTGCCAAAGCTTCCAACTGGCAAAATGCAACTTTGAGGGTGCCAAACACTCCATGAAATTCTGGACACCGATGCATTGAAGAAAAGGTTCACAATCTTTTAGGTTGGAGGCCATCGCTAGGCCATCGCTTTTATCCTGTTCACCTGGCAGTCTGGCGCCAACAGATGTGCGCTTCCCACAAACCGCTGTTCGGTGAGTTGGTGCTTGAGAGTGGTTCAACATCTGGAACAGCGTTGTAGCAGCTCTATAAACATGTCGTTACATGCACAAGCATTTGCTCTGGCATGGCCAGAGTCTTCTTTATTTGCTACTTTGTCGAGGTGATTGGCTCTTGAGTCAGCGCAACCAATCCAACAGCGTGCCCAAAACGCATGGCACAGCCAGCTGCGGCTCATTCCTCTGGGGTGAGAGAATTCACCTAGCGGTTCGGAGGAAGATGCTACGCAAAAACAGCTCAGCGCTCCATGCACACTTGGCGGCTATATCCTGGGGGCCCAACAAACCCGCTGTCATCCACCGTCTAAAGGGTCGCCTCCGTTCGAGATATCTGTCACAAGTATCGCATTCTAGAGCTTCTTCATTGTCTTCTTGTTTCTTTTTTGGGGGATTCTTAGGGGCATTGAACTGCTAGCATTATACGGTATACGACATGATCCTAGATCTTCAAAAACTATCTTCATGCATCTCCCCAACGAAGGGACATTTGCGGCACTGCAATATGAATGTTTTGGATTGCCTCCTCATGGCTTTGCAGCCGTTCGAAAGCGTGCAGACCAGCGGATGATGGTGCCACTGGTGGCAAGCACCAGCCTGGAGAAAAGAGATAGGATGACATGGAAGATCACAGTCTGATTCGGGTTTGTCCCCGTGACCGAGGTGTGACGTGCCAATCCGTGGCAAAGCGGCCAAGCAAAGCGGAGCGATCGGGAATACAGGCCATCTACATCCCAGGCGACTCTCTTCAGAGTAGAAAGCAAGACTCTGATCTGCTGGAGCCGTCTGGACATCCCTTTCCTGCATTAACTCTGGAAGCTAGCCAATCAGGGTCTCGCAACTTGCAACCGAAGGTTTGTGGAAGTCCACAAACTTGAGCACAACAGTTTGCAACAACAAGTTCCTCTAGTGATCTGCATAGTTTGCCACTTCCCCCTCTCAGGCTGTGCTGGGTCTCCCAAACGGAAATCGGACAGCTTCCAGCAGCTCGTTGACCTGAAATCCGGTCGAAGTCATGTGGTTGCCAACGATTCCGATAAGGCATGATAAAACCGCCAAACTCGAACCAAGTCAAAAAGAAACGGAACGTCAGTGGTCTGACTAAAAGCTTTTCCATTGTAACGACAGCCAAGTTCAATAATTCAATGCACTGAAACCATATCTATATATATATATAGGCCGGAGGCCCTACAAATGATGCGGGTTGGTTGGGGGAACTTTTGATTCATTCATCTCTTGAACAAGACATTGGCGTCTGAGAAGCAACAATCGGCTGCAGTTTTCTTAGTCCGGTTGTCTTTCCAGGTGTCTTCTTTCCAACCAGCAAACTCTGGAAGAACCACTTCACGCCACCGTTCCTTGGACTCACATTCCAACGTCTGTTTGCAAACTCCAGAATGGGTGCCAAGAGTTCTGGCAAACAGGATCTCACAGACGTAAACAAACCAAAGGTTCACGTTCTCTCTCAAACACTCAAATCCTTGATGCGAAAAAAAAGAAAAGATAGAAAAAACAAAGATAAGGCCCCTTTGAGGAGGCTTAAGGAGCCCTGCCTTCCCTTCCGCAGTTCGCACCAGCAGAGTCAGTTCAATCTCCCTTGACGGCAATCAATCTCGGTCAACCCTTATACCTTATACCGCACAGGAAACTCTGGCTGAAAGAGCTCAAACAAACATTATCCAACCTCCATAGGACCCGACCCCAACAGCCCCAAGGGCCCCCGGCCATGAAGGCAATCACCAAATTTCCCGTACTGGAATCCTGTGAGCTCCGGATTCTGCGGCACACGTGGCAGGCATTGGATTCACTGCATTCCCGTGCATGGATTCTTCACGTCCATTGACCAAATCACACGATTCGCGGCGTATTGCATTCGCAGATTCCGTTCGAAAGCGCTTCGGTTTTTCGGTACTTCCACCTGAATGCTCTTCACTCAGTCAGTCAAGGAGATATATCGGCCAACTTGCAGCTCAGCTCATCTGACTTCAAATCGACCGAAGCAAGTTTCTGAAAGATGCATGTGCACTGAGGCCTGAGTTTTGAATTCTGGAGCCTTCACTCACCCATGTGGTCACTCCACCCGCTCTCTGGCTGAGTCCGAGACGATTCTTTCAGTGTACCAATCCAAACCCAAGCTCTCAAAGAAAGGACGTAAGGACTTCTGCCATGACACAACCTGCCAAAGTTGAAAGGCACGTGACGCACTTTGATATAGAAAAGTTCAAAGTTTTTTGGAGAAGGTTTGGGCTCAGACTTGGCATGACTTGGCCAAACTTGGCACTCCTTGAAACCAGGAAGCCCGTCAACGAGCCTCCCACTCCAGCAGCAGATACAAGCCCAAGAGGCTGCCAGACCAGCAAAACGCATACCTGAACCCAGGACCAAAAGCGAATACAAGTGCCTGTGCACAAACTAGACTAGAGGTGTGCATTGGTAGTGGCCCGCGCGTATCTCTAGGGCTTCCCCAAATCCATAGGCAGTTTTTTGTCTTATGTCAGCCTTTGCTACCAGTACATGCCTACGCAAGCCTCAACTCCCAAGCAG